AAAGCAAGCCTGAGAGAGATTTCTGCTCTGATACCCATTTTACAGTCGAGGACACTGAGCCCAACAGAAGCTAACCCTGCTAGTGATCGTGGAGCTGGGAATCAAACCCAGCGTCTTAACCACGACACTGGGATGTCAGGAATTTTCTGAAGATTAATGAAACAAATCCTGGAGAATGGTCAGCATAAAGACTAACATTAAGTTCTTTATAAACATTAGCCATTATCATTATTAATTAGTAACAGGCATGTGAAAACTCTTCTCGGATACAATATAGACAAATACTAAATCCTAAAATTATTTTGTTCATCCTTTCATGGCTTTTCCTTGTGAAAAATTTATAAGAGACCAATTATGTGGCTACAGGCAAACTTTAAAAATGTCATTTAGAAATCCTTTTACTCACAATGTCCCTTAATCTTCCAGAAAGTCATGTGCAGAATGTAAACAATAATAAAATTAGATTACCATGTTTCTATTGACAACAGAATATTTGACCACAAATATACAAATGGAGCCTTTAAAATGCAGCCTCAAACCATAATTTTATACACATTCACTCCAGCTTACATATTTCTTATAAGATTTCTTAAAAATATTCCAGTTGCATATAACTTTTTTTCACTAAATTCATATTGCAGCGAGAAAAACAAATTCAGATCATTTGTTGGTGTTCTGAGCTTTGTAGAAATGATAAAACAACATTAAAATAGCTCCTGGTAATACAAAATTGAATTAAGCTATCATCCTAAAATATGCAATACACAAATAAATTTTTAAAATGCAGAAAATTTAGCCACCTAATTCAAGATTGTATCTCTTATCACCTTGGGAATCTGATATACCAATTCAAAATTACTATTTGAATTACCATCAGAATTCCTGAAACCCTGTTTGTAGTGAAGATTTCAACCGCATGTGGTGTTATGTCACTTAAAGGCAAATTCATCTGCTTTAAGACACGTTTAAGCTTCTTTTTGACTTTGAATCTGAATTTACAATAGCAAAAACTCAGAATTAGAGCTCTCAGTTCCACTTGCTCATGCTTCTTTTTTGCCCTTCCCCAGTCTTCCTCCCCAGACAAGCAAAAATAAACACTCAAACTAGCAATATATGAACTGACCAATCTTAGGCTCCCATGGAAATAAGACAACGAGAAAAAACAAAGATGGAAAGAATCACTGCTTTGCAAACAAGGCCTTAATTAGGTACATAAATAAAACTCCTTTTACTGCTACGGCCCTGAATCCTTCCAAAGGAAGGTTTCCCAACAACTTTGCACGCTTATACAACACAGACGTCAACAGGCTTGACATATATCCACACATTAGGAATCCTCTCAGATTCGGTGCTTTAATATAGATCTAATGCGAGCATCACCAGCAAGAAGCCTAGGTCTTAAAAATTATGCTGTTACAATCTAATAAGAAATTTCTCTTCAATCCTGTCTTGGAAAACTAACTGCCCCCCACCCCCCCCCCACAATAGGCCAAACAGTTAAAAGAAAGCCACAGTTGCTCATTTTCATAACTATCCATGAGTCTCCTCCAAATCAAATTGTAATTGTTTAAGAGTAATTAAAATATTTATTACTTCATTTGGAAACATATCACTTGGTTTTTTTTTTTTTTTCAGTGCAACTCAGGCATTCATTTATGCTATTTTGTTTTTTTACCTATCTATGCTTTCTATCTCCAAGGTTGATAAACTGTGAGAAACCAACGGTTAACTACGGTAACGATTCACAGAGAGGTTGGAATAGAATGTAAAATACGAATAGTTGAAACTTTTGAAGTATGAAACAGTAAACAACCATCCTAACTGAAGAACATTTCATCTGGGGAATAAAAAAGCCCAGTATCTGAGGCTATAGCTCAGTGTCTGTCTGTCTTTATCCCTTAGATGAACCATGAAAATAGGCACTAACCTGTGAGTACAGAACCTACAAACATTGAGTCTTACGATAATTTGGCAGCCGACTTAAGAAGAAACTTAATATCTCGGCCTCTCCATTCCATTCCCTTCTTGTTTGTTCTTCAGATGAAGTTATGGTTTTTGATACAGGAGATTTTCATGTTTTCTTAGCCTCATTATAGGGACAAGTGGGGGCAGGAAGTAAAAAATGGCTCTGAGAAGACAACCTATATAAACGCGGGCAAAGCCAACAACTGTGTCAACTCAATGGAAGTTTTGTTGACCTCATTAAGGAGAATAGCTTCAACTCAGTTGCAGTGAAGTCACTTAAATATAAATCATGGCATATAGAGCTAAAAATATTTGTCATGGAGTTAGGGGAGATGATTGATACTTTAAACGCTCTCTTACATTTAAATGAATTTCTTGTTTTTCGTTCTTCTAATTCATTGGTAAACAGTCCTAGTTTCACAAGAAGACTTTCAAAGAAGGACTAGGAAAGTCTATAAGGATTATATCCCAGGGAAGCTTGCCAGACACTAGGAGCTCACTAATTTTAACCTTCACTCCTCTAGCGGTGACTGGGGGTAAGGAAACACATGTGTTACAGAACGCGTAAGCAGCTTGATGAACTGATTCACAAACTTAATAATAACTCAGAACTTTCTGATAGAGTCCGCATCTAAACACGCATGTAACATGGATCATAAAGCAAGTCTAGAACTGGATTTCCAAACTATATACGAAAATAAAACTGGATCTCCAAGCAGAATGATGAAAATTCCCTTTATTCTTTGGAGAATTTATTTTATATTGGTACCTTCTAACTCCACTTTAACTACCATAGCCGTTACAAAGTAAACCCAGGTAAGATCCCTGAAAACAAAACGAAATGCGTAACTGCCTTTGTCTGAAATAGGTCTAAAAAATTCATTTCTAAAACATAAGATCATTAAGAATTTTTCTGGATAAGTAGTAATTTCAAAGTATTTGCCAGATTGCCTCAGCAGCTTCCACAATTACCTACAAAATCGTACTCTTTTGAACCATTTATGCAAAAATGGTAGAAGACACATATTCCTGAATATGGACCTGATATCAAGCTATTAAAGGTAAACAAACTGTTGGAAAGATATAACCACTCCACAGGTCCTTAAAAACCAAACCACAAGTCATTCACACAAAGCCTTCCTAGGGGGCAGTCCCGATCACAGACTCTGCTTCAGTATTACATGGTTCTTATTCTGTAGGAGACAATCTGCCAGTAAATGATGACAAAATGAAAATGCCTCCCCCCCCACCTCATTTGTTTATACGTACATGAACTACCACTATGCATTATTTCATAATTACTCCAACCAATACATATTAGTAAATTCTATTTAGCAAAAATGATTAGACATAGTCTTCTTTATTTTTAAGTTACTCTAAATGATGGTCTTATTTGGACTTTTCAGCGATGAGAACTATTTAAGGTTTGCACCTGTGGCCCCTCTGACTCTCCTGTCAGTAGCCACCTGCACCAGGACACCGGCCTGGGGCCCCCCACCCGAAGGACCTACACTCAGACTGCACACGCCCAACCTACACTGTGTGGCAGTCACACTTCCACCTGAAGCCAAATCCCAAAGGAGAGAAAAAAGGACTTTTTTTTTATTTGCTCTACGAAACCTACTTCAATACCAGAATTGCTTTCCTAAAAATAATTTCAGTGTCTTTTTGGTTGCCTGTCAAAATGGGAAGAGTTTGAGGTGAAGAGCCAACTTCATTCAGAGGTTTCTTTTCTTTATTTTCTTTATTTTTTGCTAGATCAGCGGAGTTTCTACTTTTGACAGTGACCATTTTTCAGCAACGCTGGTAACGAACGTATTTACTCAAAAAGCAAAATACAGACTATTTACACATTAAAAACCACCACTGTCAGTATAGAAATGAAGGTATCTAATATCAGAATCAATTCACTTTATATGTTTTCTAGGATCAGAAATGTCCTAACATTCCTAGTTTTAAAAGGCTTCACCAATACGTGCTGGAATACTGCACCAAACAAACAATTATATGGCATTTAGTTTTGTTTATTTTTAAGAACTGTGATAAAAGATCACCATGGCGATTGGGAAATGATGGTTAAGGGTGTTGTTTATGGATGGATGGAATTCTAACATGGATAATTCACTGAACTTCTAGTGAAACTTATGCTGTAAGTTCATTAAGGTCCTGAGGCTTAGTAAGGAATAAGCAAAAATATCGTGTGTGAAGCAGCAATTTTTCAACAGGCTAAAGTAGAAATAAATACAATATGTAACACATACTTGCATATGTTACAGTTTTAAAATTATACATAATACCTAAATAAATGTGCAGAACAGCTCACAATGCACACGGATAGCTTTACTTACTTGTTTAGACTGAGGAATCTATGGACTAAAGTAGGTGTTTACGTAAAATTTACATAAATATTAATATGTATTAACTTACAAAATAATTGTAACACAACCATTCAGGTATACTCTCTAATCCTGAAGACCATAAATTTCATGTAGCTCCCAAATAAGGTTGTATATTTGTAAACAAGGGTGCTTTTTGTTTTGTTTTGTTATTTGCTTATATCGCAATGGTCAGAGACGCAAGAACATTAGGCACACAATTTTACCGGTATTTAGAAACAATCCAGTCCAATGTTACGCTGAAACCCATTTTGTTATATTTAGTATCAAAAGGGAAAGGAAGTAATTCCAAATTCTCATTGCTCAGAGAACAAAACAATGCAAATACTATACTCTGAAGAGTCATCAGCAAGAAGCTTAAAAAACACTCAAAGGTTAAAAACGTTACACACCCATCCATATACGTGTGTGTCCATTTATGCCAAATAGAACCAGTCTGTTAATGTTACAATAATTTAGTACTGTGCAGCTCCTAACTGAAGGATGAATACTGATTCACAAGTCAAACGACCCAAATGGGAACTAGAACAGTAGTTTCATGGGTTTGACAACTGAAATCATAACCCCCTTGTATATAACAAAGTATACGCTGACGAAGAAACAAGGTGCAAAGCAAATAGCGAGAAGGCAGACACTCACCTTCGGTGCCATTGGGAGTCATGGAATTACTATCTCTATGAGAGTTATCGAGTTTGGGACCACTGGGGGATTCACTACTACCACTCAGACGGCTATGCGGGCTGGTTAGATCCTGCATTTCCATAGACCTAAAGACAAGAAGCCTTCCGTGTGACAGATGTACCAAATTCATAACACTAGTATTTAATGCGCTAACGACTTGACACCTTTGAAACACATTCACACAAAAGTCCCATTGTATCTGTTTTCTTAGACTCCAAACAGTTCACCTTACATTTTACCTTCAGTCATGCTTTCCCAACATGTGGTGCTCAAAGGTGTCCTTGGCCTTACCTAGCTAACCAAATATTCACATGGCGCTTTGAAAAATCTTTTTTTCTTACACAGCTCTTCCAATCACAGTGAGACCATTACGTCAAGTTTAGTTTCCAAAGGGAAAAAAAAAATGCAGTCATGCTTTTCTTTTTAAATTGAAAAAACAGAGGCGTTATTTCTGTAAAAGACAAATATGTAAACAGGTATAAAAGGACGAAGCGTCACTGTCTATGGAATCTGTTTCATAAATTAGCACCAGTACTCCCTTATAATTTACCACCCAATTGTAATTTAATGGGTCTCCAAACCAAATAAAACACTTGAGGCCCATAGTGCAGTGACAGGGAAAGAGATAGTCCTGATGCATGTGTTTACTCTGGCAAACTGCTTAATTGTTCCTCTGTTTCCCTTGAAACAAATGCAGCATTAAAACATTATGATGTCGGCTCACTTGTTTGCTTTGTGGATTACATACAGCGTGCCCAATTGAAAAGGGATAAGGCCAACATACAGTGAGTCCCTGGGAGCATTAGCGCTTGGAATACCTCAGCTGTCACTTATTCAGGGAAATAACAATTCTACCTCAAGGCTGCACTTTTGCATTTTTACCATATAAAAGGTTAAATACTCCCCCCCGCCCCCAAGTTCTTAGACTCAGTAGTTGCTGATTTTATAAAATGATGGTAAAGCCGCCACTCACGTTCACAATTGCAGAGCTATCCGTGTATATTTAATATTCTATTCATGGAGAGGAGGGGGGCTTATTTAAAGCGACTAAAACCACACCTAGATACCCTTCTGTTTTCTGAGAGCCAATTTTTTTTTTTAAAATCTAAGGCCCATTCACTTTATTTTAAACCTATGTATTTTTCTTAAAAAAAAAGGGGGGGGGTGTTAATGTTCCATTGAAGTGAAGAGTGTTCCTCCCCCCACCAGGTTAATAAAAGCTAGTTATTCTACTTTAGAGGTTGCATTTAGACTGACTGTAAATAGTTTTTAAAGCAGCTTAATATGAACCCTGTAACTTCTAAAGTGAGTTTTTACTTCCCCCATCTTCTAAATCAAACTAGAAATGGCTTACAATCCAACTTTTCTCTCCTAATTCACATTACACATTCACAGTTTACCTAACACCAGAAACTATAGCCCATAATCATTTTCAAACCCAGGCTCCTATTCCCTTTCTACATACTTAAAATTTTTTTTACAAGCGCGCAGACACACAAATTGTTAAGTAATTTCCAACAGAGGCTGTTGCTATTAATAGAAATAATTAAGAAATACTAGACAAAAATAGATATGGGTCACAGAAAGGTAATCTCTAAAAATGTCAAATATCCTTACCTGCAACTTGAGGAAACAGCAACATCTGAACTGGTTTGAGATGTTTGCACCTGTGATCGGGGGTAAGAAATTAGAAGCTGTTGTTACTCTGCTTCAGTGTCAGCTCTTAATTATACAGAGCACATGGCTGAGAACGACAATGCTCTCTTTTAACCAAAAGAGAAAAAGGAGGATACTGCAGCAGTGAAAGGCATATTGTCTTGAAGTTGAGGTCTCCACTGTTGTTTCCTCCTGCAGGTCTACCCTCCTCCTCCCCTTGTCAAGGGGGAAGGCAGCCAAATGACGGGATAGTGATTCATCACTGGCCTATGACAGCTGCAAACGGGATTACCCCTCCCCCAATCAACATGCAAAGCAGCCTTGCCCAGGCAGCTTGGAAAAGGTGCTTGGAGAAAAATAGCTATTAGCAAAATGAGTGTGTTTCACAGCAGTTCAAGAATTAACCCTGCAGCACCCTCGGAAGATCTTCCATTCTCTGCTATCACCAGCTGAAACAGTGTTCCCGCCCACCCCTGACTCCTGACAGTTTCTCCTCCTTACCATGGTGGTTTCTCCTATATTTACTATTCGTCATGTAGCATTTACTGAAACAGCTTCTGGGCAACTTTCAGGCAATGCTGAAAAATGTCACTCTAAATGGCAAAGGCAAGTTTTCATACCCCAAAATCACATCACTGAGTGACGTGTGCTCATGTACTCATGCAAATTTGAAATTCAGTGACTGCTTACGCACCATCGCCTGCTAAAACAGAAAAAGCAGTCAGCTTTCCGTTTAATTTTCTGTCGTTTCAACCAAGAGAACAGAGAGCTTAATCATCAGTTCAATGTCCCAGGGAGCCAGCATTTTGGTGCCTTTTGTCTCCAGATGAACCAACTAACTTAGGCTCACAGGCAGGCTCTGCCAGCTACTACTCTTCCTCCAGAGGCAGCGCACACCGCCAGCAGGTGATAAGCTCAGGTGAGGGTGGGCTGCTGGTTTACAAGCTCAGACTAACGCCTCGCAGTAGATAGAGAGCATTCTGGAAAACACTTAAAATGACTCGGAATTCCAAATCTTTGATGTGCATTTTCATTCAACCTGAACTGACATCAATTAGGGCTACAGAACAAAGATGAGAACTGAAGCATCTCAAATGGCATTAAACTGATCCAAGCAAATTTCTGCCATTGAGTCCGGTTATTTTCTAATTATGATTTATGAAATTGAGGAATTCTACCTTTTTGGCACGAAGAGTGCACTGTTGAAGTCTAGATCCCTTGGTGTAACATTATGTGAAATTTCTAGGTATGTGTTTCTAGAATACATGCAGGATGAAAATCATTAACAGACGCCTAAGTGAAAATTTAATTTTAATTCCTGCAGATATATTATTTTGTGATAGCAGGCGGCTGCAATTTTTGTTAACGCTCTCACGTAAGATTAAATGTTTTCCTCTAGAAACTGCAGCAATCTACGAGGATAATTTTTTTCCTTTTTTTCCCCCTGCTTTTATACACCTGGAATAAATTATAGGTGAGAACTAGCTTAGTTTTAAGAACTCTTTTGGCCTAATTGTGGGAAAGAGTATGTAAAACACACTTTCTGTTAAATGTTAAAATACATTCCTATTTTAACATTGGCTAGATAGTATAATCCTGGAAATATAATTTTGGTTTCATTGTATACTTTGAAAGTTTGATTATCCTTATATTTGTGGTTGAACCTATCATTAAATTGCAAAGTCAAACTTAAAAATGCACTTCAACATAAGAATTTTTCGACCACGTTTTCTCACTGAAAAAAAATGCATTTGCATTTTTTTTTAATGCTGCCCTGACTCAGTCTCTACTGTACTTTCATATACTACAATTTTTGAAAGCCCATATCCATGATCTTCATTTCATTAAGTATACTTCAGATATATTCTTTTGTGTCTCAAGGATTATTTAAACCATGTGTTGTGTGTTACTGTATTTAAAAATGACTCTTTAATCAAAATAACTTTAAAACAACTAATCCTCACTTAGGCTGGTCAGCTGAATCCACATCGTGGTCCAGGAAAAATAAATCTACTCTCAAGAATGCGAATGCAGACAACAATTAGACACAGATGTGAGCAAAATTAGTTACAGTTTACAAAATGCTACACTTCACATGCTTTTAGTTTTTTATGTGTAGTACAAGATTACAGGCCAGTAAGGAAACATGCTCTTATAATGACTTATCTAAAAAGAACACCTATTTCTGATTGGTGTGGATTTTCTCTTATGTTTGACAATATCGCTGGAAGTTTCTGTGTTTTCAAGGTCCAAGAGCATAATGTGTTTCAAAAATTATTCATTAGGCAGATTTCCACTCAAAAGAAAAAAAAATTATTTCATGGTTTTCAGGAAAATGCTGTTAGGCATTCAGTAAGCTCACATTTTCTGCTTCATATCCATAAACTTAATACGTTTCTTGTCTTCTTCTAATCTGGTATTTTTAATTCAAATGTTCCTATGAGTACAAAAATATTTCCCCTAACATTACAAAGAGTCATCTTATATTACAATGAAGTCACTTCACTCTAATGCTTTTTAAAACTCTTTGTATAGAATACGCACAGCAGCATACATACTGAGAATTGCAGAAATACAAAGAGGAAAAAAGATAGAACGTCGTAGAATTTAAATTCAAGAATCCTAAACTAGTCACTTTGACTTCTGATTAGTTAATGAGGTCTTTTAAGTTTGCCTTTTTTCTAATTAAATTTATAATTCTTCACAGATGTAACTTTTGTTGATGTTCAATTTGTCTCTCTCATTTTGTTAAACCTCACATAGTACTTCGCCAATCCATTGAATAGCCACATTAAATCTGTTAATACCATGCTCTTCAACCCCAGAAATTATTTCCAGAAGGCAAACTTGCTTTGAGAGATCATCAAACAAGACTTAAGGTACACATTTTATCACATTTTCCCTACCACAGAGCTCAGGACGCAGAGCAAAATTCATGACTTTTGCACTGTTTATTATACTTTGCTAAATTACAAATCAAAAGCATCTGACAGAAGATCATGTATGAAGCCAAAAAGTTAATAATGTTCTGTGAAAAGTAAACTGTAAATGGAAAGGGGTTCTAAATCTCAGCAGCACAGAGCAAATAAAATGTAGGTACTTGTCTCAATTATGGGTTTTCCATAGGCTTTTTTGCTTGCTAGAAGCAATTTTTATAAAATGGCTATAATTTAAAACTTTTTTTTCCCCCCAAAAACTAAAAAGACATTTTCAAAGTGAAAGTACTGAACTTATCTAAATAAATAGACTTGGCAGGCAGGCTGCTTTTGACCCCCCCCTCTACCCCCCCCCATCAACCTGAGTACTCCCAAATTTGAAAGACAATGGCCATTTTCTAATCAGAATGTATTTTATAAGAAGGAGACTTAGGCATAGATCTGCTTTTTCATCAGAGTATATTCTTGCTAAAATCTCCCTCAATCAATATGTCTAACTCTGGTGTCAATGCTGTGATAAAAATCTACACGTAAAATCAAAATGAACTCCTAGGAAGACGAAGATGTCTTTTAAATGTTAACACTTATTTCCTTCTTTATCAAAGACTCCATAAAATGCTCCATGCTGCAATGCTGTTACTGAACTTAATGTAGCAGGCTGTATTCCTCTTTGACATACCTCGTTTGAAGAAAATGCCAACACCGAGTCCCCGTGAAAACAAAAACAAGTGTTTAAATGACACTGATGCCACCACAGTTTTAAAAGATTGATTTCGAAATGAGCACTCATTGAAAATGTTGAATGAAATGCCTTTGCTATCTGATTAAATGGAAGAGAGGGTTTTATTCTCACTGCAAGTCTTTTTTTTTTCCTCTTCCCAGTGTATTCTTATAATAGGAATTTTCGCATTCAAATGGAAATTTTCTTTTGAGAAAATCATTTATCATGTGTACGAAACTCACATAGCAGCTGACTTCCTTTTGGCACTCTAAAACTGAACAGTGGCTCAATCAGGCTTCTCTGTCTGTCACCACGAAGAATTTTCAGGATTGAAAACCCATGGCTGTTTGTTCATTTACTAAACACTCTGGGCCTTAGGAGAACTCAAGCAAGCAAGAAAGTCAAATATCAAATATTTGATAATGCAGGACTATTCATGTATGCATGTGCTCAAACCCCAAACGGTGGGTGAAAACACTCACAGAAGCCTAAAATAAAAGCTACTTTGAAAGACGCATAAACAAAACAAAACAAAAAACAATCCCAACTCTATAAAACTACACTTTGTGCTTAACTACCAACTTTTTGTACCCTTGTCTTTTTAAGAAATGCAACATGAAAACACTTGTCTAAATTCAATGGCAGGTCTGAATTCACTGAATTCTTGCAAAAGCTAGACTTAAATGTGTTCAAAAACTCCTCCCAAGAAATATAAGCCCATGAGTCATTAGTAATACAGTGATTTTGAATGACAAATACTTTAAATGGTAATTCAAAAGTTGAAGAATCTTCTTTTAAGTTTCAAGGTCCATTCCAGTCATCTAAAGCGTCAATAAGCGAAAAGTATATTAATTTAGCAAATGTTTATTATTTCACCTTTAGAAGACGAGCCTGTTTCATATAACGTGGGGGAAATTTGTTTATTGAAGCAAAAGGATTTCCTTCCTTAAAAAGTGGTCTCAATTTATTTTTGTTATCTGTTGTGCTTTCAAAATGTGAATTCTTCCCTCATTTTCTCATATCAACCTAAGGTGTGGAGGAAAAGTTATCTGTGTTGCAATGGAGATTACACATAGGTATTTATCGCTTTGTTCCATATCGCTCAAGAATATTTGAGGTTTGTGCAGCAATTCAGAAGAGATAACGAAGTAATCTCCCTGCAAGAATACAGCCGTGTACTCTATTTCCATAGAGCACAACCACAGTAATTGCTAACAATTAATTTGTAATTGTCTCTTAATGATGCCAGTCGCGGAGCTAACAGGGGGGTTAAGAATTCTACTTTTGCGATGGAACCCTGTGGCTCATAAAATCCCAGGTCCAAAGTGTCATAATCTTGCCCGTGCCCTCATGTTTTTAGTTTAAAACAAATCCAAACAATTACTCACGGCGCTCCTGGTATCGGGCTTTGCCCACAGGACAGCTGTTGTCAGTCCCTACAATTTTTCAAACCGTCAGCTTGTACTTACAGCGCTTACATCTGCTGCGTCCACCAGTTTTTAACGTGCTCCCTCGAACGTTCTGGTTTAGCAGACCTCCATTCCTTGAGTAGGTTTGCTCCCGGGAAAGGACGCGTGCGGGCTTTTAGGCGCTCCCAGCGGAGCCCCGCGCTGCTGGAAGCGGGGCGCCTCTGCAGGGGAAAGCCCGGCCGCGGGGACGGCCGCCTGGCCGCTGCTGCAGGCTCGGGCTGCCGAGCGACTGAGCGAGAACGCTTTCCCCAGCAAGAAAACCGCCACAGTGGACGGCAACAGGAAGGCTTAAAGTCGGAAGTGGCACTGGAGAGTTTCTACCTCGCCCCAAACTCGGAGCCATCAGCTCCCACCGATCTGTTTAGGAGCCGCTGCGAGCCCTGCGCTCTTTCCCCACCAAACAGCGGCGGCAGATAGCATCTGAGAACCCTAGACAAAGAAACGGCAGAATCTCATCCCTCGATTTGTTTGCGCAGCCTTGTAGGTCTGCCCGTGGAGCCTCGGGGCTTTTTTTTTGTTTTTGCAACGCAAACCACAGCTATTCTCTTGTTCTAACCTTATTGGTTTAAATGCAACAATTGAGAGGAGCACTGCTCCGTCTGACTCAACCTTGCTGCTTAAAAAAAAAAAAAAAAAAAAAAAAAAATTTATTATGTAAATGAACGCGCCCCACGCTATCTGAATAAACAGCTGTGTGAGAATAAGTTCTCGGAGACACTGTCGACACACATCTCCTGCTCCAGCAGCTACCAATTACGAGCTTTGGGGAGTAGTTACACGTTATCTTTTATACTTTTCCAAAACTTTTTTCAGGCCCTGAAACTTGGGGAATCAATACTTTGCAATCCCCCCCCCCCCCCCCAGTGCAACAACTAACGGGTCTGGGAAAATTTAGAAAAAAGAATTAGAATGGCAACTTATGTATTAAGTACGTAGAGGGAGAAAACAAGCAAACGTGTAAGCTATTATCAGTTTAACAATGAAAGCCTGAATGATGATTCTGCAGTGATTTCTAGAGGGGCAAGGGTTACATGAGCAATTGGGGGGGGGGGTATGAACCTGATAATATTTCGGTGTTGATATTTGAAAATCATTTTTGGGAAAAGATTGATTTCATCTAGAACTCTTTCTTTACATTTTGTTCCTTTAAAAAATTCTAACTAAACTCAGAATCTACGCATGATAATCCGCAACACCTATCTGGAGAGTTGCGCTCTCCGCTATTATGACTAAATTGCAACTTCAGTTTAAGATATTTACTTCCTTTCGTGTTTTAGACAAATAAAGGACTTCAGTTATTAGATCGGTGATAACCGTTACACTGATTTCAAATATTTAAAGGAGGTATCACTTATGTGCCTATTCTATATTTTTGTCTTCCCCCCCCCCCACCCCCACCCCCACCAGCTCTCTACCCTAGTTCAAATACAAATGTTTATTTTGGTACTACTCACGCATCATAACCAATTCTGTACTCTAAAGTAAAATCTTTATACCCACTGGATTTTCTTTAAAACTGTTTTGTCATCACCGATAATAAATACTCTTCTATGTATTTGGTCTTTTATTAACAGTAAAAAGCACCTTTTTTAAAAGTTTCTTGCTTTGGTATGAAAGAACATTTTTAAAATCACAGCAAATTCTTAAATGATTTCATGATACATTTCCAGATCATCAACTAATAAAACAGATACAGTCTTACCTTTGCTTTGCTAATTTGTACACGAAAGCACCATGCAACCACAACAAAAAGCTTCTAAGGAACAAAATTCAGTATGGACTGTCTCCCTTACTGCCCCCTGAAAGGATGCCAATCGAAATTCCTCAGAAAGGAACGCTTTGTCAAACCTAAGAGGCAGCTTAAACTGCAAACTCACCTAGGATTTCATTTTGTGTGGTGCCAGCAAGGAATCATGGGCTAGTCGTCTGCCATATTTGGGAAGCGAGGTCAAAAAGCAGTTGATGGCTATTGGATCTGTTCATATATGCAGCAGAAATAGAATTACATTACCACCTACAGCACTTTCTCAAACCAGAAGTGTCAGTTACTCAATATACTAAAGTATAGATGCAGAAAATAAAACACAGCACATGATGGAGGTTTCTAGTGCTGTGAAATAAAATGTAATGTTACATTAATTCAATCCATGATGTCAAGCACCCACATCGTAACTGCTTTTGCGATCATATTTATTTCTAAGGTTCATCAAATAAAAATCTGAGGTGCTGGTTGGAGAATTCAACCTTGTTTGAAACTTTACATTCAGCTATTGTACCCCTGCTTCCCATAGTTGAAAAATTATCCTAGATGTAAAAGGGTAAAATATTAGTTTTCTGATCCATGGGAGATTATATTTGCAAATCCAGAAGACACAAACTAAATGAAGTCAGAACAGCAGGAATATCATGTAAAGTATCTGACTTTTATATATAAATTACTGGCCTATATTATAATCAAATTTATCATATTACATTAGTTTTTATATTGAAATTCAATTATTCTTATTTATATAACTAACCAAACATGATACCATTAAAGAAATGATGCATGTAATTATGAAGAAAATTATGAAAAGCATGATGAAGGTAATATGACCACTAATATGACACAGGTCATGCTTCATAATTATGTAACAAAGAGCTTAGTCATTGGCTAAAAGAAATATCCGTGTGCAGATATACCAATTTTAAATGGTTTCCTTTTCCTAAAGCAAAATTAGGTGGATTAAAAACAATCACATGCTTATCCATAGAGTTGTGTCCGGTTACTACTTCTGAATATCAAGTATGCAATAACAACCATACAACTTACACCAAAAATAAGTGATTCTCTGATAAATAGCCAATATGTAAGCCATTACTAATAAGATCCAGTTTGTAGTATACTGTTGACTTCCTATTTCTAAGTTTTCACTAACTATAATTATATAACCTATCCATATACTTTAAGGAGGTAGGTGTCCCCTAAAAAAAGTTATACACGTTACAAATTAGAAACATTTGCTGAAAATCTGCCATTAGTAAATAGTAGAGGTAATAGCAGAAAGCATTATTTTCTGAGATTTCCTGAAGAAATTTCAACACAAAAACAAATGAATAGGAGTAAAGAAATTCTAATATGCCTTTTTCCTATTAAAACAAAAAATAAGTATAGCATTTTATTTGGAAAAGAAAAACACTTGTAATAGGCAACTGTAACAAAGTGTTTGAGTACCCTCAATGAGACAATGTCTTTCACATGCTGTCTCTCCAAACAGGTTTTATCTTCTAGAACAAGCTGTTGCCTAGACGCATACCTGGTTATAGGCAAGTCTGCAATTTTGAGAGAAGTTGTTATTGCTTCCCAATTAACAGAATTTTAAACAAAGCCATGGTTCCAAAAATAAACAAATGACCCCAATTAAAAAAAAATTAAAAAGACTAGGGCAGTTATAAGGAATTCATTAGAACAATCGAAAAGGTAACTGAACTTTTCTGAAACTACACGAGTAAGCAGTTTATTAATCAAATTAAATATAACAAATGAACAGAGAAAACGAATGAAGACAAGTATTCCTTTCCTCTTTCCATTCCCGTAACAACAATAAAGATCTTGAGTAATTGTGAAGTTTCCAATAAGAGAGGTATTCAGTCGTTGTTTTTCTTTTATTTGTGTTTACCTTTTAACAATTTTAGAATTAAGGATGCACGCTATTCACTATCAACCATCTGTTGTCTCCGTTTCTACTATTCTTAGCAGATTATTTCTCAACAATAATGGTATAGTAAGTTGTGAAAACATCATTAGCATTTAAAGACCAATGCTTTCTCTTCAAAAGTAAAACCCTGGTTATTATTTCTTCCACATTAGGAAAATCAAGTATATCTGATCAATAAAAATCAACATTTTGTGATTCAGACTGTTTAAAGTGGAATGTCAGAGTATTCTAAAAGATTGTAGTTCTGGTCCCTTTGCTTCCAAATAACTCTCCTTTCTCGTGGCCCGTGCCATGGCATTACATTCCTGGCTTTTTTATGGAACCATTGGAACAATGTCTGGATGGCTGGTGTTACGATCCTTGCTGGCATTTGGAGTGGTCACTTCCAAGACCTCCTCTTTCCCCACTGGCACGAGACCTACACTGAGGGCCCTGCTCCCAGTAGCCTTCTGCTGAAACACGACCAAGTAAAACATCCTCTATTTATTTTAAGAATGATATTAAATCCGCCAAACTGAATGTCAACCAGTATTTTGCTAAATGTTTTCCATTCAAACTCCAACATGAATAGCTTTTAACAGTAAATTTAAGGAGGCAATTACTAACTATTCACTGTACCATGGAAAATTATTTTAATAAATATTCTAGTCTTTATAACAACACAATGTGGAAATATAATCTATTTCCTGGTCCTCTAATAAGTACATTGGCTATTACATATGAATAATCGCATTTGTTTATGTAGGGTGGGAAACTTATCCTATGTAGTAATGGCTGCCTATAGGATGTTATTTTAAAATATTATTATTCTTAATAGAAACTTTGAGGTGCACTTATTGAAACACATAATGATAACAAGGGCAGTGGTAGATTTTTAAGGGAATGGGATGATATAGGTTCTTTAAAAAATATGACATACCAGGTTTCCAATTTTAAAATCAACTGATTTTCTGAAATGGCAAATGGAGTTACTTTTTCTTCCATCTGCCAAAAATAGGTAAATAATTGGTTTTGGAAGCTTACTCTCAGCAATAAACTCCTTTGCTTTCTCACACTTCAAAATGGATTTCTGTTGACATGAAGTAACCTAGAAAACCCAGGTTTGTCTCCTCTTCAAACCTTTTTTTTTTTTTTTTTTTTTTTTCCTCAAAGCCATGGGCAAAACCAATCTTGTCAGCACCTCCCAATACATGTAAGAGGATCTGGAAATTTGTTTTGTGTTTTCCAGGTTTCACGACAGCTGAGTTCACAGTTTTTAAATTCTTCAGAAACGATGACTATCTCATGGAACAGGAAAGGAAATTAACATTTACTGAGTGCTTACTGCACGCCAGGCGCTATGCGAGGCGTTTTCTATACATTCTTCATTTATTTTAACAAATAACGTGACGATTTATCTGTATGAATCCTGAGTTTTAAAAATATGCCCTCTCCCTGGTATTTGTTTTAGAATCTGCCTCACTTCTCTAACCCCATCAAAGTTCCCACTAAACACTGGGCAACTGGGACATCGGTGTGTTGTGTGCTGTATCATCATTTTGGAGCAAAAGGACACCTAATAAAGTTAATAAATCCAGAAAGGTGTGTCATGTGTTGAAATGATATACGTATCGAAATGATACATTCAATATAGAATAGATACAATCACTATGCAACATATGATTATGTACAACTATACATTGCAAGTCAGGGTGCAGGTTCGAAAATAAAAACACATTAAGTGACCAATAGGGAAAACAATACGATGAATCCTTAAACCTGAAATGATCAAATCAGGAGATACAGGTTCCTCATATTTATCAAAAAAGGTGAATTGCCATTCTAAAATAAGAATTATAAATATGCCCCACTTTTTCTTTATAATAAAAAGGAGACACTAAGAGTCTGAGTCCACCAC